CCTGAGGCTCTTTGTTGTGCCCTTCATCCATGCCCATCGCATCACATTGCGCTACCTTGTAGGGGTCTGTACACAATTCCTTAAAACATCCCAGATTTGCCTGCCCGACATACTCGCCACACTGGCTCTGGATCGGCGTAAATGACGGGAGTGGAACAACATTCCAAAGGCCCAAATCAACAACCTGATCAACTCTATGTGGAGAAGATGGGTTGTGCTGCATGATGTAATTGGGCCTGGTTTTCTGACAATCTTGGAACCCATTATTACAGTAAAACCGCACATCGTAAAGTGGCTTTTTATTGTGGGCAACCTAAGCACACATATCCAATTATCCTACTGTCTAATCAGCATCTTGATCTACCATACCTGTGAAATGGATGGATTATCTCAGCAAAGGAGAATTGCTCACGAACACAGTTCAGGCACATTTGTGTATAATATTTGAGAGAAAAAAAATAGAGAAAAAAAGTCTAGATCTGTAAGTTCAGCTCAAAAAAAGTTGTTCCCTTTATACTTTTGTTGAGTGTACAATTCTGGTTTGGGAGTCTGAATGATCTAGGAAAGCAAAATAACGCTGTTCTTAGTCTGCAAGGTCGTTTGTTCTATTTAAAACACAGTCGGTGAAAAATATTGGAAAAGATATGGCACCTGTGTCTGTAAATGGAATTCAAGCAGTTTTCGTAATACTGTCACCTGATATCTGAGGTAATTTACATTGTTGATTGTGAAATGGATCCAATGTACAGTATACAGTAAGCAGCACAACCCCGCAGGCATTCATAGCCGCCGTCTTTGATTCTGCTTCAGCTGGTAGAGCTCCTGACATCTCTCTTTGGAACGTAAAGACCACCTCTTAAAATGCGCTCAGAACAACAGAATGGACGAGCAAAGGAATCCTGTGATTAGAAGCTTATAGGAGTGAATGAGAGATTAGACCGAGATGAACCTGTAAGAGAGAACTCAAGAGAGACGGAGTGGGGGAGGAGGAGAGAGGAATTTGGGAGTGAAGAGAGGGAATTCCATGCCCCTTTTCACACCTTTTATTGTTGTTGCACAAACCTGTATTTAAGACCTGTATGAACACTATACTCTTTATTTTCTGCCTCAGGACAGTTTCAGCAAAAAATGAGCATGTCTTGCGAACAGCACTTTTTCTGTCTTCCTGTCTGCTGCATACGCCTTCGCTGTGTGCGTGTGTGTGTGTGTGTGTGTGTGTGTGTGTGTGTGTGTGTGTGTGTGTGTGTGTGTGTGTGTGTGTGTGTGTGTGTGTGTGTGTGTGTGTGTTTTTAGCATGCACTCTTGGTTTGTCTGTATTTTGTCTCCAAGATTTGGACTGCATGATGCAAATACGTGCTCCGGGACGTTTATGTGTGTGTGTGTGAAAACTGTTTAAAACTGAAACCCCTCCATTAGGAACTGGTTTTGTGAATTCCACCTGTATCATGAGTTACCTTGGCACACCTTGGCTGCAAAGCTCCCCACCATTCCCCGTAGGGTTCCTTCGTCCCTCACAGGATTAGAGAGAGAAAATGGTAAAGGAGGAGATCGATCTCCGTGCATTGGGTGCTGACAGTTTTTTTTCTTTTACTAGTGTATGCAATTTTCTTTTTATATGCATCAAAGACTAAAGTTAACTTCTGTCATATATAAAATTATATATTACCTTTGGCATAATGGTGATCAAGGGTGGCCCGGTGATCGGGTGGTTAGCGCGTCGACCTCACAGTGCAGAGGTACCAGGTTCGATTCCAGCTCCAGCCTTCCTGTGTGGAGTTTGCATGTTCTCTCCGTGCCTGCGTGGGTTTTCACCGGGTACTTCGTTTTTTTCCCACATTCCAAAAACATGCTTGGCAGGCTGATTGAACACGCAAACTTGTCCTTAGGTGTGATTGTGAACGTGGATGGTTGTTCGTCTATGTGTGCCCTGCAATTGGCTAGCAACCAGTTTAGGGATTGGCTGGCAACCGGTTCAGGGTGTGCCCTGCCGACTGCCCGAAGACAGATGGGATAGGCTCCAGCAGGCCCCATGACCCTTGTGAGGATAAAGCGGATCAGAAAATGGATGGATGGATGGACAATGGTGATCCTCTTCTCCTCGAGGCGCTGTCGCCCCTCTTTCATGATGTCGTCTTAAAGCTGGTCTCTGCGCGCACCACCCAACAAAACAGGAGTGAACGAAATGTTTGTTGAAGAGATGACGTTGGAAGTGCATTCTGACGGTTGTCTTCATGGTAGCCACTGCCCAGCCTTTGAAAGCATTCACAGCCGTTGGCACGCAGGACTCGTCTGCATCTCACGGTCTGACATCTCTGAAGCTTACTCATGCTAGCTTTCCCCTTGCATGTTTGCTCAGATGAAGGAAATTATGTAATTAGCCTGTGAGTGCTTCATTTTTCAACTGCCACGCCCTCTCAACAGCACCAGCCATCCTAGAAATGCCACTTTCTGCCTTTACCCTTCTGTCTCTGTCCTCTTTTTTTGCCATCCGCACTTGCATTTCCTTCCTTGCTCTGTGGCAGCAGGAGATGGTTCCAATTTAGTCCGAGCCACATCCTCACTCACCGCCTTCATTAATAAGGGACATAATAGCGACTAAGTGGAAGAAAATGAGCACTTGTCATACAAGTCCATTTTTAATGATTAAACAGTCACTTTCTTGAACATCAAAAGAGGAATTTGAGGGTTGTATGAAGGGGGCAAAAGCAACATGTTGATGTTAAGGGTGTATTTCGGCCTGGCTATAGTTAGAAAAGCTGAATGTTGGGAGATGGATGCTGGGGTACATATGGGCAGCATTGGGCGGGGCGGGGGGAGGGGGGGGGGGATGGCGGGGGGCGCAAATCTGGCATTTTGCCCTCTAATTCCAGCCAGCCTGGAGGCCTGGAGCGCTAAGAAGGGCCTCACTGTTGCTCTCTGGATCAGCCAGGTATTGCTTACATAAAAAGCAAGTGAAAACAGCTGTAGGGATAATTAGCTTGATTCTCCATTACATGCCATGAGGGCCAATAACTAAAAAATTGACTTTTGTTTGGGTTAGAGCTACAACCCCATCTAGGAGGAAGTTGTAAAAGTCAGGAAGAAAAAAAGTAGGAAAATGAGAAATGAAAAAAAAGAATGATAATAGTAAACTCTTGAGGCTTTTGTTTCCAAGGAGATGCCCAATCTTCCAGGGAAGACACACTGTAGGCCTTATTTTTAAAATATGTTTTATGTTTCCGTGATAGCACAGACCAATTACCTTGATTTTATTTTTTTTTTTTTTACATTTAGCGTCTCATATTATTCATGGGCACCTGTGACATCATATAGATGATGTTTGCAAGAAAATAGAGAACATCTGTGTATAAAATTGGTGGCTTCTATAATTACAATGAAAAAAAATGTAATAAAATAATTTTTGAATAAATGGGGATATACCATCAATAAGCCTTTCCACAAAAAAAGTCTCCCAAATAAATCAATGGCAAAATTTATCAATTAAAAAAATATTTTAAAACGTGAAAAACAATAGAAAGGAAAAAAAAATGTTGGAAATCGGTGAGGTTGTGGGTGCCAAACAGCAATTATGCGGTGGTCAACTGTCCCAGTCTTTATTGAACACTTTCAGGGAGCGGGTGAGCCATGATTGGTCGTTACCTGAGCCCTGAGCAGCTGTCAGGTCATTTTCAGCAGACAGAAAATGGCAAAATGGCTGCCCCCTGAGATGGACAAACACGTGTGGATTTGGCTGCTTAACTTGTCTTCCACATATGCAATATGAATCATAATGCAGTGTTTAGACTAGTGAAGTTGCATAGAACATATTATTGTAAAGATAATCTGGGTTGATTTCACTTTTGATACAGTTTATTGCCATTTATTAAAGCATGAACGCACGCATGGCTGCACCGCACCACGTTTCGTCATTATGAATGTGGACGCTGACCTGAGTTTATGGAGGGAATGCATCTGCTGCGTGTGGTGCCAGAGAGGTGCTGACAGAGAAGAAAGAGGAGCGGTCTTTGCGCATATCAACAGGCAGGTTGTGCTCTCTATTATGGTCTGTCGGGGGCCATATTTATTGATTCTATGCTGCCACCCCAAATCATTAACTTAAGTGCAGACGACAGCGGAGAAACTTGAGTCACGAATTTAGACAAACTCACGTTAGGGTATATACATGCGCACACACACACACACACACACACACACACACACACACTCACACATTCACTTTGTTGCATAACAAATGATGGCACTTTAATTGCACTGCCTGTTTATTTACTCATGGCTATAACGAATGGTCACTCTTCAGCCAGTGAGCATGCACTGCAGAAGTGGACACATTCCATATGATCCGTTTTGAAAACCACCACGCTAAGCTCATCTGCTTTCTGTCAGGATCATTTGAATCATCATGATGATCACCTAATGTCGTGTTTGCATGGTCGACAGGACAGTATTTGTGTTGCTGGCCAGCGGCATTCAAATGTGTGTGACTCACAATAATAATGTGTAACACAAAACAGCCTGTGGGCTGAGGCAATGCAGTGCTCTCATCATGATAGACATACATCACCATTTTTTTAAACAATCCTCAGGAAAGTAGTGAGTTGTTTTTGACTGTTGTGCTGCCTGAATAACAGACACATTCCAAACTGAGTTTCCCCATCCCCCAGCCCTTCTTTGGTTTTTTTATTATGAGCACTTGATGTTTAGGCCGCTGCCTTAAGGAGCTCTGGAGGCTCGCCAGACATTTAGGAACAAAACGGTAGAGAAATGGAAAACCTGATAGGAGACGCTGAGCTTTTATTTGTCCACTACCAAGCAGTGTTTTTGTAACATTTCAAGTGATGACAAATTACCTTTAAAACGACAGGCTAGATGATGTATCTTTATATGAATGTGGATTTTAGCACTCCATCTTCTTTTGTTGTTGTTGTTGGGTGTTTTGTTTTTTTAAATCTTGGTATTTGACCTCTCACACAAATATGTTTTCATCCTGTTTCTGTCAACAGCTGCTTGCACCGCCAGATCTCGGGAGGTCCAGGTGCTTCAGTGCTGCTTTCGGATTACCACAACTCTGCTTGGATTTTGGAGCTGATCAGCGCAATTAAAATAACCGATCACCGATCAGAAGATGGAACGGTCTATTAAATGTACTTATTGATTTACTGTAAAGTCGACGATTGGGACTGGACCTGCCCACGAAAAGCCTCCGCTTGTGTTTAACTGACGACCATTGAAATACCTTAGGAATAAATAATAACAATTAACTCCTAAAAAAAAGTCCCCAAAACACAGAGAAACATTCAGTACACTAAAAATAGGGGGGAGGCTGGGGGGTGGTGCTGATGCAGGGGGTGACCTGAAATCCCCCCACTGCCCCAAAAAAGTGAAAAAAAAAATGAAAAAAGAAAAATGACTGTGCATGCTGACAGCACAGAAGTCCCTTGAGTCAACGAGATTGTTTTTGCTCTAATGTTTGATTTTCCTGATCCAACCAATGACGTCACTCATTGATCAGCCAATTACGACATTACAACCGATCACCTATTTTACATAAAATGCAAAGTATTTGACATTCTGATGCAACCAGTCAGATCTATGTCAAGTCTAATTCCTGCCAGACGGGCATGCATTTCAGGAGCCACAACTTCTGATAAGCTCCAAATGTTGTCTTCTTCTTTGCTGACGAATGCCATGACCTGAACGTTGGAGGGCAGTTAGGAGTGTTGGGCCCGCTTTAATGTGGCGCCCCTGCCTTTATGTCTCTTAATGTTTGCTGGGGGTGGGGGACTGTGGGCAGGGTAAAATGTTCAGTTTTGAGTTCTGGCTCTCAATCAACACAAAATTAAGCCACTACTTTTAATACGAATGTAGCCAAGCCAGTGGATTTACCGATAAACCTTTGGTGCAACTGGACTTGTGAAAGTAGTATTACGTTTACTTCTGCCACTAAATACAGTTTCGGACTTTTCACAACATGGACCTCACACCTTCAGATCCACGAAGACCTTCTCAATGTACCGTGCCAATGGAGACAAACCATATTGCAGAGACATTCTTCTGATATTGGACTGGATCCAAACCTTTCGTGTTCTAAGGCTCAATTGCTTACTGACCTGACTTTGGTGGAACATCTCCTCCTTGCCTTGTTGAAAAGGCTGAAAGTCACCGACATCAGTTGAAATGTCGGCTAGGGTCAAATTACAATTCATATAAAAATAGGAATACTGTACATCTCTGTGTTGAGCCTGTTGTGAATTTGATTCCTAAAACAATATCAACAATGTCATGTTTTCTTTGCCTCTTTTTTGTTACATTCATTTCATATCCTAGTGCCACTATTTTGGGTTTTGAAAAGTGATGTGTATTTTGTGTGACTCGGTTTCTTTTGCGCAGTGCATAATATTACTCGGGAAGCAGCATGAAGTCTCAGACTTAGTGACTCACAAACATGGACAATTGAACCTCAGCCTTAGGACCCAAAAGACACAACGTGCTCCCTGGGACCTAAATTCTTCCCACTTTCATCTTTTGAGCTGTCTGAAACACACTTCCAAAGATTAAATAAACCATTAAAAAGATACAAGTAAAAATTGATGCTTTTACAAGTGGATATTTACCACTGTAAAAAACAAGAAAGGACTTTGGGGTTCCTTGAGTTCATATTATCAGTGTTTTCTTTCCACAAAAATTAATTATATATATATATATATATATTTTTTTTTTTTTTTTTTTTTTTTCGATTGTTCTCTTTGCTCCAGTGGAACAAAGTATGCATTTTTTATTCGGCTTATGTGTGGGTGGTTCAGATCAACTTTATCCATGACTGTGAATGTTTGTGAGGGTTCTCACAGTATTCACCCTTGACTTGTTCCCACAATGTTCTGCAGTGGTCAGCGTGTTTCCAGTTGTTTTAATAAACTTTGCTTTCACAGGAACTATGAGGTGTCTTTTAAGCCGAATAATGTCAATAACATTGACAGTGACAGTGTTTGGTGGTCAAAGGGAGTGCAACAATGGCTATTTTCACAAGATGAAAGTTTCACCACCACTAATGGCACTTTCAACAATAGACTCTTGAAGTTTTTCCCAGTTTTCATGGTCTACCAAGTCTCTCCCACTCTCATAAACTCAGCCAGATGTTGCCCCGGCTTTTCTTCCTCAGAAAACATGGGGGGTGGATGTGGAGGTGATCGAGGAGGAACGGCGGAGAGGGCGGGATCACAAATGTGGCTGAGCATGTTTGGTAAGACCAGCTGGATGCACCTAGACACGCAAGCCTGCCAACAGCTGATGTGCAAAGAGTAGAATCCAGAAATGTGTGTCATCACCCTTGTTCAAACTTCCTGTCCTGTTGCCAGACTTTTACTCTTGTGATACTGTACACTTTTGAATACTTTATTACCTACCCCTGCACAATGAAATAAAATCCATTAATTTTTCTTTACACCGCTTGCTTCATTAGGGTGGTGAGACGCGGGTACACCCTGGTTTCATCACCAGACAAAGAACATTTTACACTTAAAGTGACACCTACGGGAAATTTCAACTCTTCAACGAAAAGAGCATGCATGTTTTGGGAACGTGGGGAGAAGCCGGATGAGCTGGAGAAAACCACCAGACTCCACATGAAGGCCTGAAGCCAAGATTCGGACCATCTATCCAAAATTGTGAGGCAGACATGCTAACCATTTGACCACTGTTCAACCATTATTTAAAATGTTTTTTTTTCCTCCTCATATTGCAGTAAAACAAAATGGCAGCACAGAGCAATGAAACTGTTACTTTGCTTGTCTCCCTCCACTTATACAAAGAAGTTGCGATTGGCTCGCAAGCAGTTCAGGGTGTACCCCACCTGCTGACCAATGACCGCTGGGTTCGGCTCAGCACACCTGCGACCCTCGTGAGAATAAGTGGATCAGATAATGGTTGGGTGTTAGTGGAAGTTAGGGAGAGTTTGACGCATGTGTAATTTTGTTTAATTATAATGTGTAATAGTAAAGATATTGTTTTCAATTGACTTTGAAACTCTTTCGAGACCATTTTCATCAGCATTTTTTTGCGTCCAGCAAAAATCCACTAATAGACGCTGTTATTATGATGGACACACACACACACACACACACACAGAGAGGGAGAGATTGTTTTTCCCCACGAAAAATAAATGCATATAAATCAGGGATTTGGATTTTTTTTTAATGTGATTGATATGACCATGGCTGCACTTGACTAATTTTAATTTGCTGAAGCCTGACGGTTGTCTTCCATAACACATCAATTGTTTGTTTGGGAACATCCTTGTTCAACTAAGTATTTTCCCATTTATTTTAGCTTTGTCGTCTTTGACAATAGCTGCGAACATTCAGTAATTTACAGCATCACGGTGTCGTGAAATCATTAAAAAACAATGACCTTCGACACCGGTCGTCGGGTTCACGGAATAATATTTGAGGTGTAAGACCGTGGATCTCTGCTGCATGTTTGTAGATCATGTAGCATAGAATAATAATTACAGTATAGGCCGCCGTCCTGGAAAGGCCCGTAGGTGATGAGAGCAGCCTGTAAAAGCACACCAGACGATTTTGCGAGGACGAAACTCGATATCCTGAAGGGGAAAATCCTAGCTCTGCTCTGGAATGGATAAGGTAATAGCCTCAGGTGCTTTTTCAAGTTTATTTTAGGTAATAGAGAGGTTTGTTTTGTTACAGCCTGTCCCACCCTCGCCTCGCTCAATTCGACTTCTGTGGCGTGGCGGAGTCATGCGCATGCGCGTCGCCGAGGTCTTGGCGGGTCCACGCTGCCTTGTGGGAGGAGGCCACACGAGCAGGTGAGAGAGGGAGAGAAATCAAGAGAGGGGAGCTCAAGTCGTCTCCAGTCTGCTGCACTTCAGCACACGCACGCCGCGCGCGAAGACGAATCGTCGGCAAACAAAAAAACTCGCCGCTGTCTCTCTTATTGTTTGTTTGTTCGTTTGGGGTTTTTTTTTACGACTCGTAACAGCAGCGCGCGCGCCAGCCCCGCCGTTTGGAACGTCGTTTTTATTCGGTATTTTGGGGAACACTTTGTGTGTGTGTGGTACTAACCCAGTGTCGCGCGGCGGATGACTGTTTGCCACGACTTGGACTCGGGGATTGTCAGAGCCGTCCTCGCGCAGAATGGGAGCGAAAGCGACAAGTCGCTCGTGGCGTGGAGCAACGCGGGGATCTTTGCGCAGGTAAAACGCTCATTGACCCGAGAGCGTGCCCGGCTGGGATTTATTATTTTTTATTTTTCTAATATGGGATGTCCTAATCGTGTAGATGCCTTTTTTTCTTCAAAAGTGAATTTAAACGGCCACTGACATTTGTCGCTTCAACCCAGTGTGGCGACTTTCCACATTTTTGAGAAAGAACGGCTCACTTGGACTCATTAATTGCCTGATAGAAGACTTAGATTAAATTTTTCTGCTTCCCAGTGGTGAGGCGCACGGAGCGCATCCACTTCTCTTTATTTTATTCGAATTGTTTTGGAGTGTCCGTTGCCGAAGAACTTTCAACTTTATCTCCCACCCGCGTTTACACCACATTGGGATAAAACGACGAGAGAAAGGAAATAAATTTCCCAGTGGACAGCATTGGAATTATTGGTTTGACATCGTCTGCACAAGTTGGATTACATCTTCCAGCTCCCTGGTGAGTAGAGCATCTCCCAAGTCACTGCAAATTTAATTTTACAAGTGCGCCTTGTCTTCTTGGATGTGTCAATGTCGTTCTCGATTTTTGTTTGCTTGTTTTGCTTCAGGGTAATCAAAATCTAAATAAATGTAAAGAACGGATAAAATGATATTTGATCCGAAATGACTTAAATGAGGTTTTTTACGTGTATTTTCTTTGGCAATCGTTTCTTCGTACTGCTGTCTATCAAAGCGTAGTAATTGGCTCCCTCTCCTGGTTTGAACTTCAATATGGAGGAAACAAAGACAAGAGAAAATTTACGTGTTAAATATTATAATTTGTTTCTATCTCACGTCGTTCATTATGGGTTCAAATAGAATATTTAATTTGTTGAATTAAAATAACATACATACAAACAGTTTAACCTGTGAAATCAAAATTATAATCACCAATTCATTGATGGAAGTGATATTTACTGGTCTGTGCTGTCTTTGTATTTCTTAATTGCCATTTAAGTAGTTTTGAGATGGAAAAACAAAATTTACTCGGAATAGAAATGACGTCCTCATGACCAACTCGGTAGAAATGTTCTAAATTCAAATGACTTGACTCTGCAGTCACTCTGAC